CATGCTTAAAAAACGCAGCGTATCGGATCTGAATAGATCTACGGTTCGAAAATAAATGAGAAACCAGAAACTGCAAGGGACCGCATACGATAAACGCTGCCAATTTAGGATCTACAAGAGATCTGATCAGCCAAAAAAAAATGTAGATCAGATCTCTTGTAGATCCTACGTTGACAGAGTTTATCGTATGCGGTCCCTTGCAGTTTCTGGTTTCATCTTAAGGGCCCATTAACTGATCTTTTCGAGCCGTTGCTAAGGAAAATTCATTCTCATATAACCCCATCAGTTTTAGTTAGTTTGGAGTTATTTCATGTGTTTTAGCTTTTTCATGATTCGAAACACCAGCGATGACGTCATCAGGTCACGCCATTGGTCATGTGACTAATACTGGAAAAATGCAAAGGCTCCCAGGCAAATTACGTTATCGGGATTTTTTTTATTGATTATATATTTCAAATTTAATCGTCGTTATGCTATTCATAGATTTTGTCTCATTCCTAAACGGTCAGATTTTGAGAGAATTTCAAAATATTGAAAGATTCGTAATTTTCTGAAAAAAAGCGTGATTTCGAAAAAGGAATGCATAGCTATGTTTCCAACGTTGGCTTTAATCGAAACCCGTCGAAAAAGACTGGATTTAATGAAAAACCGCGTTTTCTTTACCATTTAAAGAAACCGGAAGTGCACCCGATATATATTGGAAGTTACCCTATTAGTGCGTGCGCAATTTACACTACCAGCAAACTTCGGTAAGATCAAACAAAGCGACACGGAGTCAGTTTTCTCTTTCTTTTGCTCTTGTTTTTCTGTTTGTCAAACTTTGCCTATTGTCTGTTTATATTGTAGGAACTTAAATTTGGAAATAAAAATGAGGGGTCCCCGTGTTCGTTCAGGAGCAACAGCACCTTGTTTATACCATATAAATCCTTACAATAGCACCATGATTATCGTCACGATTGCTTGCTAAATTCACGTTTCCGACGATTGTTTCTTACTCAACACTGAGAATTGGCCCATATTTATTTTACATAGAGAAATGTATTACTCAATTCAACACAACAGAA